CAGAATGTATTCATGTGAATCATTCAGAGTATTTATAAATTGGGTTTTTTCTAGTTTCTGGGTTATTTCTTTCTCTGTTTTTCACTTGATTGCTGTGTATTTAGAGAAGCAATCTAAACTAATTGAGCATGGATGATATCATTTCACCCAGCAGCACAGTTAATGTCCATCTTGCCTGCATGACGTAAATGTGTAATGCTAAGTAGTAGCCTCAGTGTCTCTGTTTCCATTAGATTTAGAAAAGTAATCAATTTTCATTTGTCAGAAAAAAGATCTGAGATGGTGAATAAATTCTGTCCATGGGCATATGCAATTGGTCTGCAAGTGGAAGTGACTTGGTATATACTGACCAACTTTATGCCTGTATAGAGTACAAAAATACTGATGTTGACTGCATAGCTTGCATGAAATGTGGCTCCCAAAATATAAGGCTTCTATTTCAGTTTTCAGAAGGAGAATGTGATATTAGTTTAAGGTTCACAGTTTTAAAGGAACACAGTTACAGAGAAAAACGCATGCAATTTGACAGAGTTAATGGGTTAGTAGAAATCTCATTTCATTTAATATTTTATTAGTAGGAGTCCTTTGATTCAAGAATCCATGTATCAGCCTTCATAGAAATTTTGTGCGGGCCAGTGCTGCACCAATCTAGCCAAAGATTGAGCAAGGTGCTCAGTCAAAATGCGCAGTTGCCTCTGTTAACCACTTACAGAGATCGAAAGCTGTTTTTGTGTTTCTAGCCCAGTGTGTGAAATCTAAACCTTGTGAATTAAATTTCTCTCCCCACAACGTTTCCAAATGGATATGTACTACAACAGAAGATATTTGAGCACCTGAGTTCCAAGATGTTTCCATCTACATTAATGAAGACTACTATGTTATAGAGAAAAGTGGTCATGGTAGGGGATAGGATACAGATCCAAGCAGACCTGGACAAGCTGGAAGGTGGGCAGAGTGGAACCGGATGCTGTTCAATAAGGATAAATGCAGAGTGCTTCATTTGGGGAGAAGTAACCAGCGACATGAATATAGGTTAGGAGGAGGTGTCCTGGCCAGCACGATGGCTGAAATGAACCTCAGGGTTATGGCTGATCACAGGATGAACATGAGCCACCAGTGTGACGCTGTAGTCAACAGATCTAATAGTATACTGGGATGCATTAGCCGATGCGTCACGAGCAGGGCTAAGGAAATGATACTTACTCTCTACTCGGCACTGGTGAGATGCCAGCTGAAGTACTGTGTCCAGTTCTGGGTGTCACACTTCAAAAAAAGATGTGGAGAATCTTGAAAGGGTCCAGAAAAGGGCCACAAGAATGATTAAGAGCCTGGAGGACAAACCTTATGAGGAAAGACTAAGGGATCTGGGACTATTCAGCCTGGGGAAGAGAAGACTGATTTGGTAGCCATCTATAAGTATGTAAGGAGTGAATATTGGGAACTGGGAGGAAAAACTGTTTATTAGGGCACCCCAAGGGAGGACAAAGAACAATGGCCATAAACTGTTAGAGGATAATTTCAGCTTGGATGTGAGGAAGAACTTCTTTACAGTAAGGGTGACCAGAATCTGAAATAGACTTCCCAAGGAGGCAGTGCAGTCCCCAACCTTGGAAGTCTTCAAAGAGACAGTACAGACGCCTTGATGGGATCATTTGATCTCAGTAGTATTCCTGCCAGAGCATTGGGGTTGGACTTGATGATCTTTTGAGGTCCCTTCTAGCCTTTAATTTGTATGATTCTATTTTCACTTTCTTTATGATGAGCTTGTAGTGTGTGGCCACTCTTTCTGGGATTTCTTGAGTGTACTTTTAACCTTTGCAGAAGCAAGACGCTGGCTGCCATGGTCCTCCTGCTTTACCTGTGGTGGATTAGGATCTTGTGTTGGGTTTAACTGTTTTAGGTTCGAGGTTGTAGGGCATGGTTTGGATAGCAGTGATTCTGCCTCAAGCAGGGGATTGGACTAAATGACTCTCTCTAGGTCTCTTTCAACTCTGCTTCTTTATGACTCTATGATGGAGGCTACCTGTTCATAAGAATAAGATTTAAATATGTTGGTTGCATTAAAAATACTTAACCATTGCACACTTTGTGGGATGATATGCTTTTTATCATTTTGGTTTTGTCACTTACACTTAGAGTTTGATGATAAGTCTGAATATCTGATGGGTATTGTTTGGTTGGTCATGGTATTAGTGCTCCTTCTGTGTGGTTGGGCATGCACTGTGGGAATTTAGACCTTGACTAGATCTATCCATGTCTGTTATTTCCCATCTTTCTATTCTTCTTGGCATCATTTATTTGACTTAATATATTTCAGTTTAGTTTGGAGCTGGTAGAAACTTAACAAATAGTTTACATGCTGAAATGCTCATTTCAGTGAGAAGCACAGAGGTTTCCATTACTAAACCCAACCGGTAAACAAGATGGATTATTTGTCCTGCCCATTGCAAGATGAATTTCTTTATAGTCTCCCACAGTGCACTAGATTCTGACTAACAGTTACTATCTTAAGTTCAGAGGGATCAATTTGGACCTTATCTGATGAATGTTGTAGAGCTTTTTTTTCCCATATAGAGCCATCCAGAAAGAATCTGGTTATGAAAAAATGTTCACTTGAGATAACATCATGTACCAGCTGGAAACAATAAAAACCCTTATTTTCTCTTTTAAAGTAAATGGGTGGGTGGTTTCCATGGCCATGAATAGTTAATATACACTATTTTTCACTGGTCAGATCTTAATGTTCCCAGGGAGAAAAGCAAGTGTCGTGCAGTAATTTTTGATAACTTTTTCCACTCTTTGTACATCATACTGCTTGGTTGGTAGTAATGGGTTTTTAAAAATTGAATCTTCATGAAAATAAAGCATGGGTTTAACTGATGGGGAAATACATTTCGCAACGCAACTTGTTTTGTGAAGCTTACAAACCCTCAAACTTTGCATAATTCATCCATCCCTTGTCTTAAGTATGAGGTGACAGAAGAGAGAAAAAGTGTTACTTTTTTTAACCAACAGCTTATGACTGTGTCAACACATGACAGTTTGTCAAAGCTTTGCTGCTGGTGATGCTGCTGCTGCTGTTCCTGCTACAAATTAATTTTGAGCATCAGTTGTGAGTGGTAAACACTTTCTGTAGTGTGAACAACTTTAGTGAGAGGTGTCAGCAGCTTGCTGTCTACCCTGAAATGAGAGAGAGAGAGAGGCAGAAAAAACTTCATTGACTAGTACAAAATGGATCTCGATCTGTGTGGCCGAAACTTGAGGTAGTGGTTTTATTTCTTCCAAAACAATCAGTTAAGCAGGAACACTTGGGATTTAAAGTTTTCTTCACACTACCAGTGTTCCAGTACTAACATTTGTCAGAGTCTGACTCGTGTTGGGGGAATCCAGACCATCAGGAAGGTCTTTTAGTAAACTTCATCTTTGTGCCTCCTGATAGACTAGATGAGAGTTTATTCTCTGCAGCATTTTAAATTTACCTGCATCTTTAATAATCCATTATTTTCATGTGGCTAAATCAGAGGTGGGCAAAATGCAGCCCGCGGGCCGCATACAGCTCACAAGGCCACTCTATCTGGCCCGCAGGGCCCCTAAAAAATTTACAAAATTAATATTTATCTGCCCCTGGCTGCCTGTCATGTGGCCCTCGATGGCTTGCCAAAACTCAGTAAGTGGCCCTCCTCCTGAAATAATTGCCTGCCCCTGGGCTAAATAAATAGAAGCCCTTGCTTTGATTCAGTTGAGGGAATAATTAATCTTAATAAAAATGTCTAGATCTTCATAACTTGCAGTCAGATAATACTTTCCAAGACCAGGACATCAACCTTCCTTTTCAAGAGCTGACTGGGAAAATATGATCTGTCCCATTTTCTAAAGCGGTGACTAACCACTCTTATATAGGGTTACGCTTTCGAAAATTAATCTTCTGTCATGTGTAGTCAGGTCCAGTAACTACTTTTAGAAGGGATTTAACATTTTTTTTAAAATATCAGCCTTGTGTACAATGGATGAGTTGATACAAGCCTAGCAAAAAGATATGTCACTGTTTCTTCCTTGTCTGACTCATTGTGACAGTAGTAGTCTCAGTAGCAGTCCAGGCAATAGGAGTTATGATAGGATGTGGGTGGAATAAAGGGATTCAGTACAGAGCAGGAAGGCTAGGAAATGTATCTAATAGAAAGCAACAGTACAGACCTCCAGTGGCAGATCAAAATTGGTTTAAAAATAAGCAAGTGTAGCTCCTCCAGTGCAGTGCCCTTACAGGTCTGTGTTAATTTGCCCATTCACTGAATTGCTTATGCCTCAGTTTTATGAGCAAACACACATACAAGACCTTGTTTTTTAATGGTACTAGTATCTTCATCTTTTTCTTTTTAATTTTTATATTTGTTTGAATATGAGCTTAAGAGGAGAAATTTCTGTTTCCACTGAAATCAGCTGGAGTTTTGCCATGAATTCCAGTGAAGGCCTGAATTCCATCGTACATTCCTTGAGAACAATCCAAGTAGAGCTGGCTGAAAAAAGTGTGAAAATGTTTTGCTATTTTTTTAAATATACTTCTTCATTGAAAGGCTTAACATTTAAAAGTTTTGACCAGCTTTATGAAATAGTCCAAAAAAGGCAGACATTTTCTTTCACAAAAAAAAAATCAATAAAATAATCATAAGCCACAGAATTTCAACTACCTCTCAGTTTAAGAGCTTATAACCCTCATCTCCTTCATCTAAGGAAAGAAAAAAAAAAAAGGATTCTTTACTGAGCTCTGGCTTATTTGATGCACTAATATATTATTTTCTCACCTGCAATTAAGAAATGTAAAGACAATTCTAGATGCATCACCGTTGTCCTTCAGTAATTGCTGTAGAGAGGCTGCATTTCTAAGTCAGTTGGAAAAATTTATATACTTCCATTGAAGCTGCTTTTGGACCCGTCTTGGTAAACAGAGTTTAGTAGATTTACATATTTGCTCACAAAGCATTTTGGTTGTGTTTCCTCTTCAGGTATAACTGTAGGTGCTGCTTACGTGAGAAGAGCTGAGCCACAACAGCCAGTTTATGAGACAGTAAACTGCTTAAAGCTGCAATTTGTTTCCCTAGAAAGAGCTGGCAGGGGCTGTGTCTTGGGTAAGTATTTTTGAACATGCGGTATAAAATGATTTGTTTTTTAAAATTGCTCCCTACGTTGTTATGGTTTAACGGTACTGTCTGTTAAATGGTAATAGTGAACATTGCAAACTGTGCCATTGTGTCTAAAGCACATACATAGGGCTCATTCCTTGGAAAGATGGGCAGAGTCTGTTTTTTTGGCTTATTTTATAGCTCCTAGATGCATTTGTAAAAAGCTCTCTAGAAAAATATAAGTACCTCTACATAAATCTGAAGAGAAATTAAAAGAAAATCCATGCAGGTTTTTGCCATTTGTCAGTGCATGTTTTTGCCTTTGTGTGTGGCTTTGGCGTCATCCACATTGGGTTATATTTCTGTTTTGTAGTGGTATAGCTACAGTAGAACCCAGATTAATCATATCCAAGTGGTTTGCAATCTACTTCCTTCACAGTGGCATGGCAAACTAAAGATGAACTAGTGCAGTTTTAGTTCAAAAAGAACCATTGTCTGTTCAGCTGGAGTTGGGTAGTGGTCCTAGGCAGCTGATGCCCCTCTGCAGTCCCATGTGACTGTTTGCTGCAGTTGTATATACTCCCAGCTAGTTTGTAAACCCTCATCCTCACAGAACAGTAAGGAACCTTACCTTGTGAAACACTTAAAACTGTAAATAATCTTGAATTGTATTCTATGTTAGCATAACTGCAGCAGTTCAACCCTCCAGTGCAAATATACCTAAGGAAATTGTAGTCTCATTGGAGACTCAAGAAGAGGCACAATAATGATTGACAGGAATGATTTAGGAGTAGCAAATCCTGCAACTGTGCAAGGGGTTGGACTAGATGACCCTGGAAGGCCCTTCCTAGCAGATTCTGTGTGGAACAGACAGTAACTTATTTGCTTTGATTTGAAATAATTTGTAGATTCAGGGACTTAAGGACTAGAAAGGTCTATTTTATCATCTAATCTGGCCATATTAATCTAATCATATTAATACAACCCATATAATTTCATGTAGCTATAAGCAAGGGTTGAATTTGGCCTTCTGGATTCCTCAGTGACGGTGATGATGACACATGAACAAATAAGAACTCTGTTACAAGCTGGATTTGCTGGTATTTAAAAATTAAAACACATTTTTAATTATAAACTCCAAGAGATTTCTCAGGAAATCGCATACAAATAGGCATTAAGGTCACTTAGCAAAAAAGGTCCTAGTTTGAAATGGTTGTTAAATTAACACAGATTCCTTCTCCTTCCTGCTTACGTTGCCCTCAGTTTTGTAATTTGTTTTGTTTTTTTTTTAATATTGTCAATAAAGTATTGTATTTCCTTACCTGCCTCAACCCCCAAATATAACAGGCACCCTATTTTGGAAAGGCAGAATTCAATGAAAAGAAATTACAAGAACAAAAAGAAAATATTCATGGTTCAGTCCTGACCATGAAGGCAGAGTACACTTTACAGTATCATCAAAAGGTTGTATTAACCTTTTCACAGCTGCTGCCAAATAGGCAACGGCTTTTGGTTGCTCAGTGGTTGTGAAAGGGTTAATACTGTAGCTCTAACTCTGGACAATGAACTCTGCCCATCCATCCCTTGGCCTGGCGAGGAGAGAGAAAGGGAGCCCCTAAAAGTCTTCATGTTTCCTCTGTTCCTATGTAAAAAAAACAAACAACAACTTCTCTCTTTAAGATGCACAATCCAACATTCCTTTAAAATAGCCCCAAACAATACTGGCCTCTTCCCAGGCAAAGAGGATGATTGTGGGATTTAGGCCTATCAAGTACAACTCGTGGACTTAAAAGTAAGCATGTGCTTTGCTGACCTGGGACCAGCGTGCCCAACACCTTAGGAAAAAAAACAGTCCTTCCATGTCAGGTGGTAATAAAAGGTACAAATTCCAGTTCAGTTCATCTGGTCTTTTAAGCACTTGCCATTAAATAAATTGGATCAATTCAGTCTGCTTGTTCTGAAATAGATCTTAAAATGCTTCTGCTCTGCGTTGACAGCAGAAACTTTTGGTCCAGGTGAATTTCACGAGACACAATATGTTTTGCCTCAATTTTGCAGTAGGCTGTTTGCCACTGACCATCACTTTGAGTGTTGAATACTTAGCTAGGCATTGTGGGATGGTTATGCCAAATTCAATAACTGTGGGTGGGCAAGGTGGGAGGACGGGGTCCAGTTCATTGATAGTGGTAGAGTGAATTGGTTAAGCTACCTGGACAAGTGGGGTTGCAGAGGAATTCATAGATTTCATAGACATTAGGGCTGGAAGGGACCTCAGAAGATCATTGAGTCCAGCCCCCTGCCTGAAGGCAGGAAGTCAGCTGGGGTGATCAGGAAGTCAGGCTCAGGGGTGATCTGATGGCCACCCAGAAGTGTATCAGGGGTGACTACCAGTATCTGGGGGAATGCTTGTTCAGCAGAGCTCCCCAAGGGATGACGAGGTTGAACGATGTAAACTACTGCAAGACCGTTTCAGGCTGGACACAAGGAAGAATTTCTTTACTGTCCAAGCCCCCAAGGTCTGGAATAGCCTGCCATCGGAGGTGGTTCAAGCACCTACATTGAACACCTTCAAGAAAAAATTGGATGCTTGTCTTGCTGGGATCCAGCAAGACAAGCATCCAATTTTTTCAGCACTATGGAAAAAATTGCACTAGTGCTATGGAAGAAAGAGACTTGGGGGTCATCATTGACCACAAGATGAACATGAGCCGTCAATGCAATGCTGCAGCTAGTCAAGTGACCAAAACACTGGCTTGCATCCATAGATGCTTCTCAAGCAAATCCCGGGACGTCATTCTCCCCTTGTACTCAGCCTTGGTGAGGCCAAAAATTGAAAAACTTTGAAAAAAGTGGATGCTAAAAGTGGATACACTTTGAAAAAAGTGGATGAAAAAATTGGATGCTTGCCTTGCTTGGGATCCAGCAAGACAAGCATCCAATTTTTTCTTGAAGGTGTTCAATGTAGGTGCTTGAACCACCTCCGATGGCAGGCTATTCCAGACCTTGGGGGCTTGGACAGTAAAGAAATTCTTCCTTGTGTCCAGCCTGAAAC